TATTCTATTCTATTCTATTCTATTCTATTCTATTCTATTCTATTCTACTCTACTCTACTCTACTCTACTCTACTCTACTCTACTCTACTCTACTCTACTCTACTCTACTCTCTACTCTACTCTACTCATACCATCTGCCAAAACGTGCACGGTTTAGTCGGGCAAAGAGAGCCACGAAGTCTTGGATGCAGGCAAGCACTACCTATGGCCTCAGCCGCCTTCTCTTCCCCTCGGACGTCTGAAAAGGCACTCAAGCACATGGCCTCACACGGGGTTCTTTTCGCGTCCTATCGTTCAGGGGGCGACTCTCAACCCATCTTCCCCCTTTAAAAAAAAAAGTCGATCCACTTTCTTTTCTTTTTGCACCGAACTCTTCGCTCCGAAGAGAAGTGAAACTATACAGGCAGAAAGCGCCTTTAAAAAAACAAAAAAACAAAACACGACCTCGATCTTTGTAAGTCCAAAGGGCGAGGATCTCCACGCGGCTTACCTCGGAGTGAAGAAGGCACAGGCTCCACACCCTGCAGGATTTCCCCCCTTGGCATCCCAGCCAGGGAAAGTCAACCCGGCCCTACGTAGAAAAGCCAACCGACCCGGGAAGGAGAAAGTGGAAGTCATCCCGGGAGGGAGAGAAAGGGAAAGTCAGCCTCGGGGGAAGTGGGGGCGGGCGGCGGAGGCACCCACCTGCAGCTGGCTGGAGCAGCCGTACTGGATGAGCGGGGTGAAGGTGGTCAGTTGGAGCTCGGCGTCGGTCTGGAACTGGCTCCCCACCAGGTTGGGCATCTTGGTGACGTTGTAGCCCAGGTTCTGGCACATGGAGATGCGGATGGCATCGCAGCGGCGTTCCTCTTCCTCGCCGAAAGCGCCCGCCGCTTCCAGCGCCGCCAGAAGTCCCAGCAGGAGCAGCAGGAGCAGCAAACGCCGCCGGCGCCGGGCACCCTTCTGCCCCGCGGCCGGGCACATCGTCCGGGCAGGCAGGCAGGCAGGCAGGTTGGCCGCCAACCCCTGCCCGGCTTCCCAGCCCTTGCCGGAGCAGGAACCGAGAAGGCTTCGCCGCCGCCGCCGCCGCTTCTTTTCCAACCGTCCCTCCCTCCCTCCGGATCGCCGTCCGTCTCTTGCGCCGTGCGCCCAGCCGAGCGCGCTTCTGGCTTGGCCGCCGGCGCAGGGCGCTGTGACACCAGGCGAGGCGGTGCTCCGGGCTGGGCGAGAGGGCGGCGCCGGGGCTGCTGCTCCCGGCGAGGAAGGGAGAGAGGGAGGGGCGGGCGAGCGAGCAAGCAACCTGCCCAGGGGAGGGGAGGCCTCGCTTTTCGGACCGCCCACCCGCCCCCCTCTCCGCCCCGCGGCCTCTCAAGCGCCGGCCGAGGGGGGAAAAAAAAGAAAAAAGAGGGTCGACGAGGAAGCCGAGGCGTTCCTTGGGAAGGAGCTGGCAGCCTGGGCTTCTTCCCGTGCTGCCGGGTGGCCTCGAGACCACGGGACGTGTGTGAATGCCGCTTTATCTAGTGCCTTGCTAAGGCCACGCTTGGCATGGGTCTACGGGGCAATTTGCAACACAGGCAACTCGCCTGGGCCAACTCACCAGGACCAACTTGCCATGGCCAACTCAACCAAGGCAACATCCCACAGTCAACTCACCACAAC